GGAATCATTAAGAAAGGGATAGATAATAAGACAGAAAATGCCTCTATATAAATCTATGGTCCACCCACATCTTGAATACTGCGTACAGAGGTGGTTGCCCCATGTAAAAATATATATATATTGGAAAAGGTACAGAAAAGGGCAACAAAAATTATTAGGGGTGTGGAACAGCTTCCATATGAAGAGAGATTAATAAAACTGGGACTTTTCAGCTTGGAAAAGAGACGACTAAGCGAGGATATGATGGAGATCTATAAAATCATGACTTGTGTGGAGAAAGTAAATAAGGAAGTGTTATTTACTACTTTTCATAACACAAGAACGAGGGGTCACCAAATGAAATGAATAGGCAACTGGTTTAACACAAACAAAAGGAAGTATTTTTTCACACAACGAACAGTCAACCCGTAGAAGTCTTTGCCAGGAGATGTTGTGAAGGCCAAGATTATAACAGGGTTCAGAAAAGAACTAGATAAGTTCATGGCGGATAGATCCATCAATGACCATTAGCCAAGGTGGGCAGGGATGCTGTGAAGTGTCCCAGCCTCTGTTTGCCAGAAGCTGGGAATGGGCGACAGGGGATGGATCACTTGGTTATTCCCTGTTCTGTTCATTCCCTCTGGGGCACCTGACATTGGCCACTGTCAGAAGACAGGACTAGATGGACCCAGTGTGGCCGTTCTTAATGTTCTTAGCAGAGCCTGAGCCTTGCTTCACATGTGCATTTCTATTTCTTCTACTTGTCAGTTTGGCTGATGCTAATCTGAAGTTCCAATTTCTTTAGTTATTAACTTTTTCGATATTGCTCCCCCAGAAAGACAGTAGGTACTGTGTGCTAGCTGAGATAAATGCCAAGTGGCTGAGATCAATCCTGGGACAATTAGAGCCATACTTTGAGCCCCAGGTCTGTGCAGAAAAGTGACTTTGTAAACAGCTTCTTTTGGCGAGAACTTTTTCTCGGGAACCTCTTCATGAAATAATCTCCTATATGGACCACTAACCCTGCCCCACATCCCCATGCGGAACAAGATAATCTGAGTCAGCATGCGCATTTTAGTGTGATTAGAATGGTCTGAACCTTAACAATAGAGCTGGTGCATGACTCAGCTTCCCCTCTGACTTTGCTTTTTTACCCACTGGGTGTGAAGGAGTTAATTCCTTCTCTGGGAGCGGGGAAGTAATGGCTGTTGGAGTAACGGAAGTCTATGCAGTTTGGCAGGGAGACACTATCAAGAACTGTCCCTACATGAAGTGCCCTGGAGAGACAATGGGAGATCTAAGGACTGGACATTAACTCCTCATGCCTGGGAGCCAAGGGGAGTTCCCAGAAGATGGGAACCCAGCAGGACTGCCATTTGGCACAAAGGGATTAGTTGTGAACAGACGGAGCTTTGAGGTTGATGTTGTCCAGGGCAGAGAGACTGAGCCAGGGAGAGATGAAACGGAGGAGGCTTTGGGAAAGCCGGGCAGATACGACTGATAAAATGAGCTTTGTGTTAAGTTTTGCTTTACCAGACTAACCTAAGAGTCATTGAATATATTCCAGCTATGTCTAGGTTCTAGCACACTGAAGGCCGGGGCATATCACACCTAGTCAATCCAGGACACAACCCTCTCTTTGAATCCCTCCACTTACTGCCCCGTCTCTAGCACATCAAAGAAGCTGCTTATCTTCACTGCCAGGGCCCATCCCAGTCTATTCCCACCTGACGTGTCATCTCTTGTTCTGTGTTGAGATGCCGACTCCCACCTCCAGACGGCCCATGATGCCAGCCTCCATCTGTCACGGACTCACAGGTTGTGTCCACTCTTGGCCCCGTGCGGTCCGTGGGGGGTGCCCCATTCAGTGTGACAGCCCTTCTCGGGGGTCCACTCTCTCCCGGGGTTAAGCCCCTCCACCTCCTGGAGCCGCACCTCTCTGAGCCTTAGCACATCTGTCTCTGCCATGGGCACCCTCAGGGAGTCCCCTCGCTGGGGACCCCCGGGGCCTCTACTCCCAAAGGGAATAATGCCCTCCCACACACACCCTGTTCTCTAGTCCGGAGCGACTCTCAGCCAGCATAAAACAGGAGGGTTTATTGAGCGACTAACATAGCACAGGAAACTCTCCAGGCCTCAGGCCTGGCCTCCCTCAGCCCAGCACATCCCAGTCTCCCCAGCATCCCGGTGGGCTCTGCCTGCCCCCTCTCTCCAGCCCCGAGCCCCCCTTTTTCCCAGCTGGGCATCTGATATCACCAATCCCAAGCCCCGCCTCTATCCATTGTCTTCTCTCCAGGGAAACAGGGTTGCCTGGGCCTCCTCTCCTCTCTTCACAGCCCATTGTCCTCCCACTGGCCAGAACCAGCTGTGACTCCTGAGCTGGGCCTCCAGGTCACCAGTCGCCGGGGTCTCCATTCTCCACGCCAGTGGTTGGGGTCCCAAGTTCCATCGCCGGTCCTCTGTAACAACAAACTCCCTCTCCCATCACCTCGTTAAACCCGTAACACCTAGGGAAACTGAGTCCCACCCCCTCTGCATGCAAACCATACCCCCATAGGAAACAAGGAAACGAAGAAACCTCCCCACTTCGTCACACCATCACCCACTTGTTACCTTTTCAAACAATTCCCTTCGTGCCTTCTCCCATGCTGCTCCTTGTGCTTTGAACGGAGCTGCCCATGCACATCCATGGACTAGCTGAGTCTTCTCCTTCCCAACCCTCCTTAACGATCTCCTTCTCTGTGACACTTACAATGACATTACAACATCTAGTCCCCTAGTGACCAACATTGTCCTATAGTTTCCTTGTGTCTGTCTGTCTCCATCTGTCTCTTGTCCTGCTCTTGGCTAGTCGGCTCTTTTGGGGGCAGGGACTGTCCTTTTGTTCTGTCTTTGTAAAATGTTCAGCACAATGGGCCATGCTTGGTCTATGAGGTGCTACAGGTAATAGAAATAAAAATGGGGAGGCTCAGGGCAGGGGGAGTGAGGGTGTTGGGGAGTTGAGAAGGGTCTGGGTGTTGGTAGGCTATGGAGATGAAGGTTTGGGGTGTAGAGATCCTGTGCGTTGGGAGGGCTGGAGACAGCGGGAAGGGGTGGGGATGCCATGGAGTAGGTGATGTAGGGAGTTTGATGCCATAAGCCAATCTTCTTCCCTTCCTGCTTGTTTTCCTTTAAGCCCCCTATTAAACTAAACCAACTTATTCCCATGGTAAATATCCCAATATCCAGGTCATCATGCAGTATTCATCAATATTCCCCAGCACCAATGCCGTCACAGCGGGTTGGAGGAATTGGACCAAGGGGCACCTGCAGTGCGAAAGGAAAGGAAGGTTTTGAGGATCTGGGAGCTAGGAGCCGTTTGATTTAGAGCAGGGGTAGGCAACCTATGGGACACGTGCTGAAGGCGGCACGCGAGCTGATTTTCAGTGGCACTCACACTGGCCGGGTCCTGGCCACCGGTCCGGGGGGGGCTCTGCATTTTAATTTAATTTTAAATGAAGCTTCTTAAACATTTTAAAAACCTTATTTACTTTACATACAACAATAGTTTAATTCCATATTATAGACTTATAGAAAGAGACCTTCTAAAAATGTTAAAATGTATGACTGGCACGCGAAACCTTAAATCAGAGTGAATAAATGAAGACTCGGCACACCACTTCTGAAAGGTTGCTGAACCCTGATTTAGAGCCTTCATTCCATTCTTATTCCAGTCCAGTTTCACTTTATTTTACATATTTTTTTTCAAATGTTATTTTCACTTTCTCCTCTCTCTGCTACTTAGTGCCTTCCCCCCAACACACACATCTCTTCCATACACGCTGTGACCCAGCCACCATTTCTGACATCTTCTGTTCCTCACAGCAGCAAGACGACCCGTCCCTGGCACAAATTTGCACTTTCTTGCTGATGTCATTGGTTGTTAGTGCAACTTCTGGGGACTCATCTGCAGTATTCACAATCAGTTTTCCCTGTAGGCTTCTTAGATCTTTGAATCAGTCCCTCCTAAAGTCACATGGCTTGATTCATCGTTTTCACATTCTCCTTTTCCAGAGGAAGCAGAATCTATTGTTTCTGAGTTATTGAAACTAATTCTGTAGGCCTAACCACACTCTGGGAGATAGTCATACTCCCTTCCACTACACCTGACTTGCTAGATTCCCTACTTCCTTAGAATGTGCTTTCCTGACATATGATACCTAAGGCTAAGATTCTGTCACAGTTCTTTTTAGTAAAAGTCATGGGCAAGTCCCAGGCAATAAACAGAAATTCACAGAAGCCCGTGACCTGTCCCTGACTTTTACTAAAAAGAACTGTGACAAAATGGGGAGGGAGGAGGGTTCGGCACCCACCATTGCTGGGTGGGTCCATTTCCCTGCCCCCGCCGCCAGTGATGGCTGAGAGCTCTGGGGTCCCCCTTGTCACCTGAGGTGGCTGGGAAGCTGCGGGATCTGCCCACGGTGGCTGGGAAGCTGTGGGGGTCCCTCTGCCAGCTGACAGCTCCTGTCCTGCCACCCCAGGGTTGAAGCAGAAAATGTTATGGAAGTCTCTGAACGTCACGGATTCTGTGACCCCAGTGACAAATCTTAGCCTTAATAATACCCCTGACACATTCTGGGACATGCCTGCTCCCTGCTGTTCCTTGCTGTGTTGATCCCCACAAACCCATGCTCACCAGTTCCAGCTTCCTGTGACTTTCATCGTCTCTGGTTCTCGCTCCGCCAGTCAGAAGCATTTCTAGGGGGATTTCCTTTCTTTCTGGAGTCTTCACAGTCTGGGACATGGAGTTACCTTGCCTGGGTTTTAGGAGTCCCTTTGATGATGACTGTTTGGCTGTGTATGTTCCCAGCAGAGATGGGGTTAGTTAAGTCCCTCAGAAGCAGAGAGTCCAGCAACTCTGGGGAGCTGGCCCTGGTTTTTTACTCCCTTAAAATGGGCTGGGTTTAAAATAATAGAACATTTCTTTGTGACAAATGTCCCATGAATTCATCTGAGGTCCCTTGTTTTCTTCCCCTGAGCAGGGTTTGCAGTTCCTAAACCTGATGTGATCTCCCAGCTGGAACAAGGGGACGACCCCTGGGTCCCAGACCTCCAGGGCTCAGAGGAACAAGAGATCCTGAGAGGTGCCCTCACAGGTGAAGAATCATTAAACCTACTTAAAACTGTCAGTGCCTGAAGGAAAGAGCTGGGATTCCCTACAAGGATCTTGTGAACGCTCTCAGTCCAGGATTGTCCCCAGCGGGTGCAATATCCTCAGGGCAGATATCACTCATGGCTTCCTACCCATCCTGGCTGACACCTGGCAGTAGGTCTTTCCCTGACCTCCCTTCATCCTGAGTGTTTGGATAGGATGTGGAAACAGAATTGATCCCCTCCTCTTTCCCTTATGGGGAAGAGTTTGGGGGAATTCACTTTCTGATTCCCCCCTCCCCCATTTCTCCAGCACTTATTTTGCTTTCCTCTCCTCTTTCCCATTCCTATATGTGAGGTTTTTCTCTCTCTGTCCCAGCAGGTGGTGGGATGGTGAGTGAGACTGAGGAACAGAACCCGCAGCAGAAGGCTGCTGAGCATGTGGAACGGCACGGGGTACTGTTGCGAAGATCCAAACGGAAGGTGTCCAGTAGTCATGAGCAGCAAAAAAGTGGTGAGAGTCAGCACAGGCCAGAGAGGCAGCAGGGAAACCAGCCAGAAGAGAAAGTGGGTAAATCCATTAATAGTCAGGGAACTCACAAGGATCTCAAGGGAACCACAGGCCAGCACAGAATCCTCACAGGAGAGAGAAAAAAATCCTGCACGGAGTGTGGGAAAAACTTCCGTAGACGTGCAGACCTTATTAATCATGAGAGAATCCACACAGGAGAGAGACCCTATGAATGTAGTCAGTGTGGGAAAACCTTCACTCAGAGTTCAGCCCTTACTAGGCATCAGAGAATCCATACAGGGGACAGACCCTATGAATGCTGCGAATGTGGGAAAAACTTCTCTGACAGATCAACCCTTATTCAGCATCAGAGAATCCACACAGGGGAGAGACCCTATAAATGCAGTGAATGTGGGAAAAGCTTCACTGACAGCTCAGCCCTGATTCAACATCAGAGAATCCACACGGGGGAGAGACCCTATAAATGCTGTGAGTGTGGGAAAAACTTCACTCAGCGCTCAACCCTTATTACACATCAGAGACTTCACACAGGAGAGAGACCTTATGAATGCTGCGAGTGCCAGAAAAACTTTAGTAATTGCTCAGCACTTATTTATCATCAGCGAATCCACACAGGAGAAAGACCCTATGAATGCTGTGAGTGCGGGAAAACCTTCACTGACAGCTCAACCCTTGTTACACACCAGAGAATCCACACAGGAGAGAGACCGTATGAATGCCATGAGTGTGGGAAAAGCTTCACTGCCAGCTCAACCCTTGTTACACATCAAAGAATCCATACTGGGGAGAGACCCTATGAATGTTGTGAGTGTGGGAAAAGCTTCACTCAGCGCTCAACCCTTATTACACACCAGAGAATTCACATAGGCGAGAGACCCTACATATGCTATGAGTGTGGGAAAAGTTTCACTGACACCTCAACCCTTATTACACATCAAAGAATCCACAGCGGAGAGAGACCGTATGAATGCAGTGAGTGCGGGAAAAGCTTCACTCAGAGCTCAGCCCTTATTACGCATCAGAGAATCCACAGCGGAGAGAGACCGTATGAATGCTGTGAGTGCGGGAAAAGCTTCACTCGGAGCTCAGCCCTTCTTTATCATCAGAGAATCCACAAGAGATAGGAACACCATAAAAACCTTGTCTAAAGCCGACAAAAGATTTGTTTTTATCTTTAATAGTTTTGCTAATTTCCACATAGTGAACTTTAAAGCTATTTGCACCATTTCCTTCACTGTGGTCCCTCAGCTCCCCCAGGTGAGTTGTCTGTTTTTGCCTTCTGCGGCTCCACCTTTTTGGAGTTGAATTCCATAGTCCTTTCTGTCAACTCCATAGTCGTCTGGATCATGGGAGTTTGTGAGCCTCCTACAAGGGATGTTCATCACCTCCAGGTCGGGGAGCTATACAGGTGACATCATCTAGCTATATCAAGGTAAAATCTGCTTGGTTTCATCCCCACTAGGATTTTCCATGGAGTTGGCTAGCTTGAGTTAGCTATCATGATGTAAAAACCTAACCAGTCTTCCAGTAAGGACATAACCCACGTACAGTCTCCAGGTTATCCTCACGTCCTGACCTAACCTCCTTTTCCTAGTCTAAGCAAACCTGGAGGAGGGATCAAATTTAAACTCTTCTTTCCACTGCAAAATGATTGTTAGAGCCTCTGAGTTCACCCTTTGGCACAGATTTGTCTCATTCCTAGTTGTCCACATATTGCCTTGGGGTGTGCTGAACAAGAATTGTTTTTCTCTGAACAAAGAGCGAGAGTGGTGGGGGAGAGAGGGAAGTGTCATTTCAGGCCCTGGGACACCTGAAAAAGATGAAGGTATTCCATGCTTCCCCATCACTCCAGCACTCTTACCTTCTGTCTCAGCTAAGAGTTTATGTTCTTCACATTTTAGCCCTCCACTCCCAAAGTGTCATGTGATGCAGTGTCCTCAGCTTTCATAGTTTCACAAACTTTAATGCCAGAAGGGACCATCATGATCATCTGGTCTGACCTCCTGCACATTGCAGGCCAGAGAAACCCACCCACCCGCTCCTGGAACAGGCCCATAACTGCTGTCAAGTTAGTTATTCCACCTCCCTGAGAGGTGGTAGCCCTCCCGCCGACGTAGCACTGTCTACACAGGGGAGGAAGGGGGTTAGGTCGGTATAACCATGTCGCTCAAGGGTGTGGATTTACACCCCAATCGATGTAGTTATACCAATATAGGTCTGTAGTGTAGACCAGACTTAAGTGTCCATTTGTAAGGTAGGTTCTCCATTCCTCCGATTATCCTAGTAGCCCTTTGTGATTGAGAATTGTCCTTTGATTTATTTGATCCTAAATCAGACTCATTAGAGATGGAGATGAAAGTGTCACCAACCTGGAAGGGGAATTTGAATGGATTCCAAACAGAGTGTGATGAGTTAGCATTGAAATCCCAGTTTCCATCTATGGGCAAAGCCACTCCTGAGGTTTTCCCTGCCGAGTCAGGATTGTTTGCAGGAGGAAATTTGGGCTGTTTTCCCTATTACAATGATGTTAAACCTTTAGTAAATAACATGACTAACCATAATGAAACAGCACATGGTGGAGCAGGTTTGAACAGATCAGAGGAAAGCAGGATGGGAGAATCTCTTGTCCTGATTCTAAGTCATCAGATGTAACCTGCTCTGGAATTTCACTTTATATGAAATTGAAATTGTTGTATATCTCTCTGGGATGTGGGTTTTTTCTTTCTTTCTGAAGTCTGTTTGGTTACATAACTGGATATTAATTTTGTTTGACAGAATGTAGCTCCGATTTATTGGGGACTTTGAGATCAATGATGATTTGCTAAAATAGGCAGGGATGGTGTCCCTAGCCTCTGTTTGCCAGAAGCTGGGAATGGGCAACAGGGGATGGATCACTGTTCTGTTCATTCCCTCAAGGGCACCTGGAATTGGCCACTGTCGGAAGACAGGATACTGGGCTAGATGGACCTTTGATCTGACCCAGTATGGCCGTTCTTATATTCTTATGTTCTTACTTTATCTTTCCTTTTTCCCTACCCCTCCATGATGATATAGGGAAATCTCCAGTGCAGTTCAGTCACCTGGAGTGCATACTCCAAGCTACTGGACAGGCTAACAAAGAAACAGTAGCATTTTTAAATCTCCACTCGGAAATGGTGAACAACATCAGACTATGCAAAGGATGCAACTATCTGAAATAACTGTATATGATCAAAGTAATATTCAATAGTTTAGGTCAGTATTGTCTCAGATGATCTGGAGTGAGAATTCCACAATAAGTGACTTGAAACTAGCCAAAATACCCATGTGTTTGATCCCCGAAGCAGCTGTGACCCGGGCCTTACAGGAGATTACTTACGAAAATACCTCCTGCATAATCGAATAACTTGGGAAATGTTGTCCCTAACTATGCAGATACAGAGGAAATAAAAGTGGTGGTTTTTTTAACTCACCCTTTGTAGGTGCTGTAAATATGTATAAAAGTAAATCAGTTTTGAATGTGAGATAGTTGCAGAAAAATATCTATATTTTTAATAGAAATCCCACCTCTCATAGTTTACAGAGATTCTGATCTAATTTAGACATGTGCCACCAGATTAAAGAAATACATTTGTCATGTTTGGAGATGCCATCCTCACTAACACTGATGAAATATTGCATGGTTTGGTGAAGAATTCTACTCCAGAGAAGTATAAATTTACCCCAAACAAGGCCAAAGATTTGGCAAGAACTCAGGTAGAAATAGCACGCACCCGATGGTTAGATTTCACCCCCCAAAAGGAAGCTGTGATGAACTATGGTCCAGGTAACATTGCTTTTAGAACACTCTTCACTACTTCAATGTCACTGGTTACAGTTCCAGAAGCTGCCATAAATCAGACAGTTACAGTTACAGTTTGGAACTATTGCCCTTTTCCATTTGGATCCCAAGGGTCATAAGCTAAAGAGAAAAAACTGTTGATCTCCTCAGAGAACACTCCTTTACTGTAGATCCCCATCTCTTTTCCTGGTTGGGCAGCAAGGACTTTCCTGCTGTGCCATGACTGTAACCACCGAGGGAATGACTTTGTCAGCTTCCAAGTTCAGACTCCAGCATACACAAATGTTGAGTTCTGTTTCTATGGTTTTGTCTCTTCGTTTTGCTCTTGTTTCTTACGCAGTTGCATCACTTCTCCGCCATCTCCTGCTACTCTGAAAGATTAAAAAGTGTGAAAATAGAGTACAGGTGTTTTTCTTTATGATGCAAACTGCCCACCTAGTGTGAGACATCTTCCACCAACCCTTACGGCAGATGATCCGCAGCTAAATGAACTCACACAAGTTGGAGGCACCAATGTTGGGGTGAACCACAGCTTTACTCAAGGGTTCACTGGGTGGAAATAGGGGTGAAAAGAAAAGTAAGACACATAATAGGGTTTTGTAATCTTTGATTATGTTATTGTTAGCAATAAAAATGAAATTAAACATGCAGTTAATTATTAGAGCAAGAGACTAATTATGTGACAATTCAAATTATACTGGAAATTATATATATTTTTTCTTTTTAGAAATATAGGAAATGGTGGCTAATCCTGAAAAGCTTATTTGATGTAATTTACCCACCTTGGACTAAAGAGTTGTGAATTAAAATGTCACTCTAAAGATTGGGGTGGTGGAATATGTGAGAGAGGTATATGAGAAGAAAGACCCAGTATAAATTTCAGTTATTTCTGTTTCAAATTAAATTTATTTTGATAAACTTTAAAGTAAATTTCTGTTAAGAGGAAAACTGCTTAAGGAGATAAGTTTTACTTTAACCTTTTACTCCGTGAGATTGTGAGTCACTGAGTTCCCCACTTCCCTTGTTTGCAAAGGAAAGATATGACATCTCTCATAAGATATCCACATTTATTTTTAAGCTTGGTGATGGATACATGATGCTTTGCTGTTAAATTTTTTTTTCCCAAATAGTTATTTTTATGGGTGCTGAGATCTATGGAAACCTTCTCAAACTTCGGCTGTAGTCCACGAAAGCTTATGCTCTAATAAATTTGTTAGTCTCTAAGGTGCCACAAGTACTCCTGTTCTTCTTCTCAAACTGGCCTTGATTATCTTCCATTTTTGATATCTTTGGGGTTTACACCTCCACGCTAAATGTGGTTTGCAGCAATAGATATCTTGAGGAAAAGGCTGAGTTAAAGGAGACTTTTCCAAACTGATGCTAGCCCAAGATCTGCCTCATTCCAACCAGATTGTCCACATTGTTGGTATCCGAGGCATCCTTCCCACCTGATTTGCCCCGAGATTTTGGGGAGGCACCGTAAAGCAGGGTAAGCTAGAATCCTCAACCATAAAGATCAAGATAAAGGCTGAAGTCCTTCGACTTTCAGGTCAACAAGATATCTGAGAGAGACTGATCCCCTCCGGGGAGGGAAATTGTGACATTAATGACAGGCTGTGCCAACATCAATTAATCTCCCTCTACCTGGGAAAGTCTATGAGCACGGAGTGCAGGACAAGCTACTCAATTGTCTGGTTCCTCCACTGCAACTCTAGCTCCTACTATCCAAGAGTCAACAGAGTAAGAGAACTGGTGCACTCCAACTCGTTATTTTAGTAAGTTTATTGTTCCATTTTTATTTTATTTTTCTTTCATTTGTATAATCTCCCGCCTTTCTATCATCTTCGGGTGTGACAGGGTGGTTCAGTGGATACATCTGTTGATCACCTGTAAAATCCACACTGAGAAGATGCCAGAAAGAACAGTTCCCCAAATCTTTTGTGTGGCTGTTGTTACATTTCTACTGACTACAGCCTTGATACAGGCTGCATCTGTGTTGGCGTGGGAAGGAGAAGGATTTAGTCACATGACAGTGAAATCTGAGGAGGAAGCTTTAATTGGCTTTGAGGTTGTCGCTTAAACATGAACAATCATTTGATTTCAGTATGGAAATATTCCCTGGTTTCAGTGTGGCTTAAGCTGCCAGGGTGAAGTTTTCTGACGGAGGTTTATGACTCAGTGGACAGCCTTCTCACTGGATTACTCTTCTAAGATAGATGAATTGTTTATCTGTTGTATTAATCTGAGGGCATCAAGTCATCAGTTTAATCTAATCAATGCAATATCACTATTCGCGCCTTGATTTATTGGTTCAGCTTGAACTGGATAACTGTGTGTTCAACCCATAATAAGTTGAGTTATGTTTATCGTAATTTAGCCTTTGTGATGTATGTTCTTGATTTTCTTGGATCGTTATAATAAAATGTCTCAAAGGGATGTTGAGTCATGTTT